AGAGAGAGAGAGAGAGAGAGAGAGAGAGAGAGAGAGAGAGAGAGAGAGAGAGAGAGAGAGAGAGAGGGAGTGGGAGTGATATTGAGACGCGGGAGAGAGTGAGATTTTATTATTCTATGTTCTTGATATTGCATTTCAGAGCGTAGGAGAATTGCTCCTAGCCGCCAGTTACTTGCCGACATCTGAACGACTAACGATTAGCATCATTAAAGCTAGGAAAGTCAAACATTTACGCAAGTTTGCAGCTGATACAAGTACGTGCATACGAGTAATTATCACTGGAATTCTACAGACCAAAGATTACGCAAACTTAGTTGCGAACCTCACATCATGAATTTTCTAGTATTTATCTAATTTCAAACAACCTTTATGTACTTCGTTTCACTTTGTTTTATTCTATTCGACCTGACGTGTTATTCCGACTCACGACTCATTATTCCTCGAGGTGTAAATATAAAATAATTACCATAGTCACCTATAATCGTAGGCATCTGCGTTAGAGTGTGCTTGGTACACAACTCACACGTGCAGAAAAAGAAGAAAACGCACATGGAGGCAAGCATCAGTCACAAAACGGTGACATTTAACGACTCCGTCAACTTCGACCTGCCGGCAGCAACTCTTGAAAAGGTACCGATGATTTGCTTTGATCGCTGCTCGTGTATGTAGTACGCGAAGAGCCTATGGTGGTATATCAAACAATCTTTACATAAAGCCACTCAGCACACATATATAACATGCCATTTATGCTGTGCTTTTATTTTTCATGGGTAATTATTTAGGTATTTATTTACTCTCACAATATCATCAGCTTCTTCATCATCTTGATCCTCATCGCGCGTGTTTGCATGCGTACGTGCGTGCGTGCGTGAGTGTGTGTGTGTGTGTGTGTGTGTGTGTGTGTGTGTGTGTGTGTGTGTGTGTGTGTGTGTGTGTGTGTGTGTGTGTGTGTGTGTGTGTGTGTGTGTGTGTGTAGTAGTAGTAGCGTAGTATAGTACTAAGTAGTGGTGTGTGTGTGTGTGTGTAGTGAGTAGTAGTGAGTTAGAAGTTGAAG